AACAGACTCTGGTTACTTTCCAAATCATGGAAAATGTGTCCTGATAGAAACAAAGCAGCAGATTAACCACAAAGAAAATAAAATCAGATTTGGCAGCCCATACACCTCTGGGAGCCTTAATTACAAAAAAAACATCAGAAGGAATTTTGAGAAGGCGCCTTTGAAGGTCTCATCTGGTATTCCCAAACCACAATTCCAGTGCTATTTAAGCACTAATAAATATATCAGAGCGCTTGCACTTTGAAGATACAACCCTTCTAATTTGTGTTTCCTATAATGAAGAGATTATGGGTTGGGGTTTTTTCTGGAGCGGGGGAGGGCGGGGAAGATGTTGGTAGGGAGCATTTACAGAGCTGTTCATGAAAAGAGCTGAGTGCTCGCACATGGTCAAGAAGAACTTACGAAATTCTCCTGACTTTTTTGCCGATTCAACAATGAAATCAGTGAGTGGGAGAAAAGGTCCTAAATTCTCCTCTCTTTCCAGAGGACAGATTTTTAACAGGAGATTAAAGATTGATTTACAAAGATCTCTTCCGACCTTCCACCAAAAAGCCTTCATTAACATAGCATTAAGATGTATTGCATATGGGATTTCTCTCTTTAACACACATCCAGATAATTGTCAGATCATGCCCAGAATATCAGATAATGGGACTTCATAACTGGGATGTCTAAAATTTCAGAGTTGTCTAAAATACCATAGCACAATCCAAGTACTATATGAACCATGCACTAAAAAAACAGACCAAACCAACAAACAAAAAACAAAACAAAACCAAACCCAACAACCCCAAAACGTTAGGTGATCAGTGTATTTGAAAGTAAAAAATCCAGATTAAGGTTGAATGCTGCTACCCCACTGTTCTACAGGTTGCCAAACAACAGAAAATCCAAAGTAGAGGGATTATGGGACAGCTCTTGGACCATGCCAGAATTGAGTTTGTGCAGCTCGGTTGCAAAGTTTTCTTTGAACCCCAGAAGGGAGAGGGGATAGCTCAGTGGTTTGAGCATTGGCCTAGTAAACCCAGGGTTGTGAGCTCAATCCTTGGAGGGGGTCATTTAGGGATCTGGGGCAAAAATTGGGGATTGGCCCTGCTTTGAGCAGGGGGTTGGACTAGATGACCTCCTGAGGTCCCTTCCAACCCTGATATTCTATGATTCTAAGCCTCTAACAACAATCCTGGCCTGTTACAGTTCCAGGCTAGGCCCTCAGGACAACTCCAGTAGCTTTAGAACTATATTATGTCCATCTATCCAGGTCTGGAAGCAGGGGCTCTCTGCAGCAAGAAAGGTGCTCTGGTCACAACCCCTCTGCTGAGAGGATGGAGTAGCTCAGCGAGCTCTGCACCACATGGGGTTTCCTTTACAGAAGCATAATGTTGAGAGAGGCCAATTAAAATAGCTTTCCAGTTGTCTTGTGCTGCCAGAGTGTAGGGGAGGACTGAGGCTATGGCTCTACCCCTGCAACTAAATGCACAGCTTCTCCGTTATTCCTTCGTGTGGTTGACTGCACATGAGAAATTTGAGGGCATGCCTAAAGCAAATGAGGAAGAGGCTTTGGGGCAACATGCTCTCAGCCAGTGGCTGTCCTGTTCTGCTGGAAGGGAACATTGAGGAGCCATTCCCCGCAACCAACAAAACTCTTTTCGCCTTTTTTTTTTAACCTTCCTCAAACAATAAAAAGCAAAAACAATTTTCTGTCAATCAAAAAAGCAATTCGATGACAATTTTATAAAAGAATTATTCCGGGATCTTTGTGCTAGCTTTTGACCAGGAGCAATATTCACTACCCTCCTGAATATCAGGAATTTCTGACAGCAGCACTGCCCTAATCTCATGAATAACTGGAAGTTAACCCTGCTGCCATAACCCCATCAAAACAATTCATGGCAATTAAGGCCACAATTAAGAAGAGCCAAATCAAACAAGGGCTCTCCCTGCTTGTCTCTAGAAGACAAGTAGATCCTATGGATGAATTTAAATTGGTGAGGAACCTGCATTCCATTTACTGAAATGTCAGGGTTAATGGATTAAAGTTGATGAAGTACAGACAATTAATTGCCCAAAAGGAAATGAGCTGTGTCAAATAGAGTGCACACTGTGAACTCCTATTAAAAAAGAATTTCAAAACCATAGATGCATGGGACTGGACTAGATGACCTCTCGAAGTCCCTTCCAGTTCTATGATTCTATAACAAAATAGGTTGTGAAAAGAGGCATCATACACCATCTCTACAGATATTCAAAAGCATCCAGGATAAACACATTTTTGGGCAATTCTGTTTCTCTTGGAACCAACAGGAGTTTGGTTATGGATTGAAATGGGAACAGAATCAAGCCTGTATAGGTTTAGAGACAGATCCTCAAAGGTGCTTAACTTCCAAGGAAATCAATGGGAATTAGGTGCCTAAATACCTTGGAGCATCTGGGCCTTAGTGTTGTGGAGACTGGCAGTAGTGAAATGGAGCAAAATTAACTAAGTTTCCAAGGGGTCACTTCCACTCCTAACATCTAGAATGCTTTGAGCTATTTGATCTTGGAGGTGCAAAAAGATTCCTGTAAGATTCCTGCTAAGCAGCATAGGCCCAATTTCCCTCTCACAACATTTAGCTCACTGACTTCACGGGAATTACTCTTGATGTATACCAGTGCGAGATGAGGATCAGGCTCCCATAAATCCTCAGCACTGTGCAGTCCAAAGGCCCAATCCTGCTATCCTTACACAGGCAAAGCTCCCGGTGACCTCAGTCTGAAATGGACTGAGCATGCACTACAGGACGTGGCACTAAGGGAATGTCTACACAGCAGCTGAGAGGTGTGATTCCCATTGTGGGTAGACAGACTCGCATTAGTTCTGACTGAGCTAGGATGATCAAAATAGCAGTGTGGATATTGCTACCCTGGTGGCGGCTCAGACTAGTTGCCTGAATCCAAGCCTGCCTGACCCCTGCTGGGTCCGGGCGCTGGTGGCCAGCCCAAGCTGCCACCAGTGCAGCAACTTCCACACTGCTATTTTTAGCACGCTAGCTCAAATCTCAGGTTTCAGAGTAGCAGCCGTGTTAGTCTGTATCCGCAAAAAGAACAGGAGTACTTGTGGCACCTTAGAGACTAACAAATTTATTAGATGCATATGCATCCAAAGAAGTGGGCTGTAGTCCACGAAAGCTTATGCTCTAATAAATTTGTTAGTCTCTAAGGTGCCACAAGTACTCCTGTTCTTTTAGCTCAAATCTGTCATTCCATGCTGGGAATCACCTCCAAGGCATACCCTAGGTGACATCACTTGCAAACAGAAAAACTAAAGACACAAGTACTCTTAAAAACAATTTTGCGTGTAGGTATTTTCTATCTATTTGACTTGGGCAAAAGAAGGGTGATTCTCAGCAGGGAGATATGGGAACGGTTCAGCTTGAGAGGTTGGGGTTGCTCTGTTGAGGGAGGATCCAGGACAGTACTGGCATAGGTTAGCCAGGGTTTTATGATTTGTTTGTTTTCTATAACATCACAATAATGATTTGTAGAGGAGGGCTGAGTCAGGAACCAATAATGGTTTGGGGAAGAAGGGGTTGGGGATAGTTTATATTTAAAACAAAACAGGGAGCTAATATGGTGTGTAACTATCACCGACCTGACCAGTTTCTCTATATGGTGTCTCCCGTCCCTTTATCTCTCTCTCGTGCATTCAGCGTGAATGCTCTTTGGGACTGTCTTCTTCTGTGATTGGCAAGTACCTGGAATATTTTGGGCACCACCCCATCTAAATAATATTTCAAAGGGGCTCCATGAACTTACCTTTGGCTCAAAATTTACATTTGGTAAACATACACTTTTAATCAAACCTGAAACCAATAACTTAAAAAAAAAATCCAGTGAAAACAGTTCTTTTAAAATACTACTATCCCCTGTAGCATTTGAAATCCTGCAGGCTAGAGAACTTGAAAGTGAAACTAACTATAAACAGGTCCCTTCCAACTCTGATATTCTATGATTCTATGAGAAGAGAAAGTTATTTTATTGTCTCATATCAAAGGTATGCTAAAGGTAAACAAAGAGCCCAGAGAAGTGCTCAGGGTGTTATATTTTAAAAATCTTTACATTTAGTCTGCAGCGTTATTAGTAACACTAGTATGGAAATTTGTTTACATATGATATTTAAATTGTCAGTGTCCCTTTATTTGTTGGTTTAGCGGCACTCAAATTTTTGTAAAACTAAAAACAAACAAACAATGCTTTATGCCAATGACTATTTTTAGATAATAAAGGCTTAGGTGAGTGATCTATCTGCACTTTTGTTACATAGTCATCTCCCCCCCCCCTTCATTATTGCCAAACAAGGGTTTGAAATAAAAGCCTGGATATGAACTTCAAATAGGAAGTTCATAAGTATAATGGGCAGCATCAAAGCCATCATTCCAAACACTCTCAAACTCCCAGGGCTGAATCCCCAAGCCTACCCAAAGTTCAGGGTGTTTGGATTCGGTGACCCATTGATGTCCATTACAGAAAGCAAGCTGCAACTTGCAAACACAGGTCCAGATACTGCTGCTAAATCCAGATGGACAGACCTCTGCTGCTGCACAGTTCTAGCTGCAGGATTGGGAGCACAGGGTCTACTTCTGTGAACACCTAGCAAGTGAGTAAGTTCACTTTTGCGAGCTGTCCCGTTTGGCTCAAGTGCTCCCCGTGAGCAAAGCTACTCAGACCCCCAAGCGTTTGCAGGATCAAACCCTTGGATCTGGGGATTTCCAATAAGCCACGCATCTAATAATTAATATAATAATATGGGCTGTCTCACGGGGCCACTAATTAGATGGATCTGGAGAGCCACTCCACTAAAACGTGCTTAGCTGCAGTTGGATCCCACGGGACAAAACCCTCCAAAAGCGTAAACCTAGAAGGAGCAAGTTCAAGTCCCGCCGGAAAGAGGGGGCGACGCGCACACCCTGCAGGTGCCTAGGGAACGGGGCAGAAAGCTGAGGGAAAGAGCGGCTCCAGCCTACCTGGCGCCCCAGGAGAAGGCAGGAACAGCTGCAGCATGAGAAGCCAGGTGGCTCCCGCCCGCCTCCAGGACCTGGGGGCGCACATGGGGCGGGTGGGAAGGGCTCACATCTCCCGACTCCGCGGGGGGCTTCTGTCCGCCTCAGCAGCGAGCGCAGGCTGCAGCTCCCCCGGCAACAGTTGGGTCCCTCCCGCTCCGGCCGCGCTGCTGCCGGGTGCAGGTGGCGAGGAGTAAACACTCGGCGGCAGGGGCGGAGCCGCAGCTCAGTGCTCCGCGGGCCGGGCCAGGCGAGGCGCTGTGAGCCAGCCTCCTGCTCCCTGCCCCGCGCAGAGCTGGAGAAGGGCAGGCAAGGAAGGGCCAGACAACCCCATCAGGCCGCGGGAGAGACTAGCGCAGGGAGGCAGCCAGCAGCTGGGAGGGGGTGCAACCGCGTGCAGCCCGCAGAGACGGTGGAATTTGGACCTGAATGATGCTGGTAAGGTGGGGCTGCTTGATAAAGTGCAATGCTGGAGTTGTTTCATAAAGCGCAATTCAGGACCCCATGGGGCTGTTGAGTAAATTGCATCAGAGGCCTGGTGAGGCTTTTTTAATAGGGGGTCTCACAATAATCGGTGGTGCTGTTTAATAAGATGAAACAAGATACACTTTAATGATACACAAAACAGCTATTTTAAAAGAATTTTAGTAAGGTCATAAAATCAAGCACTAACCCTGTGCAACCTCAGTTCAGTCCCTTATGCATATCCATTATCATAGCCTATATTTATACATTATAGACTTATCCATTACAATAGCCTATATTTATACAGCCATCGTTCTTTTTTTTTTTTTTTTTTTCCACAGGCAACCTTAATTCTGGCCTTTCCTCACTTTTGAGTATTTGACTTTGCAACCTTACAACGTTTATAGTGGGGGTGCTCAGAGACATTGAACCAAACTGTAAACTCTTTAGATAATGGAATCCATTTCAAGACAGGGGGTGTGGTAGCACCCCTAGTTCCACCACCTATGCAACCTAAATAATGTTCTCTTAACATAGTTTTGTGTGGGTGTAATTTCCTAGTTTTTTTTAAAAGCAATTTGAAAAAACAAAAATTCCATCATATAGCACCATATTGACCCTCCACATGGATCATCAGAAGGGTTGGATGCATTAGATCCACTGCACAGACTACTGCTACTTGAGCTAATGGAGTAACTGAAGGCACTGTGTTGTCATCCTCTATTGGTACCAGCATTAGAGGGGGACGGGACACGTTGCCAGTGGGTTTTGTCGATATTTGCTGACCGAGAGGAGTGGTGAGAGCCAGGAATGTTGGTTCTATTCCAGGTTCTGGAGAGAAGTGTGCTCTAGTGGGCACAGACTCTTTTGCCCATCCCTCTAACCTGTCCCTGTCTCAGTCTTGCCTCTTCCCCATCCCTTGCTATTCATTCCAGGCATATTTTCCGCACTTAGCCGGTCCTAGTCTCCACTCCTTAGGTTTTTCATCACAGTCCCAGTCTCCTTTCTTGGCAAATGCTAGATTCCCCATCCCAGTCTCCCTCCACTTCCAGTCCCAGTTTCCTGGCCCAGTCATACCCAGTTCTCCAGTGCCAGTGTGATATCCAATCTATAGAACCTTGCAAATCCGCGGGTATCCGCTTTATAGCTGCGGATATCTGGAACCAGGTCAGGGAGAGCCACACTGGCAGCTGTGGCGAGCCTGGGTCCCTCTACCTGCCTGCGGTGCGTGGGAGGGTGGTGGCTGAAAGCAGTCCCCGGCCATGTCCCTGCCCCCAAGCTCCCTGCCAGCTGAGGGCAGGTGGAGGGTCCATGACTCTGTGCGGGTTCCCCACAACTCCCTGCGTGGCTCTCCCCGACCGGGCTCTGGCAGGGGAAGCCTCAGCCCAGCCATGGTAAGTAGAGCCCTGCAAATCCATGGATATCTGCAGCTATCCGCATCCGCGGATGTGGATATCCACAGACCATTTTTGCGGATCAGCTGCGGATACACATTTTTGTATCCGCGCAGGGCTCTACCAATCTACCTCTTTCCCCAAACGGAACCTCCAGTTGCTCTCCCACTACATTCCCCATGGGCTCTCAATCCCAATCTCTCTCCTTAAACTCCCTGTTGAATCTGATTCTTTCACTGCTGGTATCTTCTTCAAGTCTCCTTGCCCAGCCAGTCCCAGACTCCCACCCCAACTCCCAGTCTCAGTTCCTTCTCCTCCACCCCCAGGCACATTTTCCTCACTTAGCCGGTCACCCCCAGGCTTTTACATGTCTCAATCTGTATTTCTCCCCCTTACAAATCTGGTTCTTGTCTTCTTTGCATTTAAATCAGGCAGCTTCTTCCTCCACAATTTCTGGGCCCAATTTCTGTGTGTGGGGCGATGTCACTGAAAGCATGGGAGACATGCTTCCTGCTCACAATTCAGGTTCCTGGACCTGGAGTGGGCTTGGCTCACAGCAGCCCAGAGCTGCAATTGCAGGGAAAATCCCGCTGAGCTCCAGGCTGGAGCATGGCCAGAGTGGACGGAGTCTTCAGGAATTTAGTTGTTAAAATCTAAGAAGTCTTTAATGAGCACATGCAAACTGAAGTTTTTCAAGGCTTAGAACTTGGCCAGATTTGAGCAGATTTTCATGTAATAACCTCATGACCCCCTGAGGGGTCCCAACTCCCAGTTTGAGAACCCCTGAGCTAAAGCTAGTCAAAAGATTGCTAGAATTTTTTAAAAAATGGCTAAAATAACATATTTTCCCCTGGCTTTGTTTTTGGAAATGCCTGAGCCATTTTGGCTAAAATCCAAAAAAAGTTCAGTCTCAGGCAGACATCCAGCAAGGAAAATTTCTGCCCAAATAGTTAATATTTGACTAAGTTGTAAAGAATTGAAAACAGAATCTTTTAATTGGAAGTGTCAGGCAACTTTAATAATAGGCTGTGCTACTTATAATAAGGTTAATCTGGAACTTGCCTTAGACACAAGTGACACAAGCACACACACTGGGGTCTCACACTTTTTAAGGGCCAAACTCTGTAATCTTTCCTCATGCAGAAAGTTTGGACTGTGAAGAAACTCACTGCCATTTGAGAATCCCCCATCCAGGAGTCTGCATCTTGGTGCCCCTACAAATCTCACAGCTGGTCATGTGGGTGAATGCAAAATAAATAGTCTCCTGTCTGCTCTGGGTGTTCTTACTATGGCTAGGTCTACACTACCCGCCTGAATCGGCGGGTAGAAATCGACCTCTTGGGGATGGGACGCGACAATCGATCCCCAAATCGGCGCTCTTACTCCACCAGCGGAGGTGGGAGTAAGCGCCGCCGACAGAAAGCCGCAGAAGTCGATTTTGTCAACGTCCTCACTGCGGGGTAAGTCAGCTGCGATACGTTGAATTCAGCTACGCTATTCACGTAGCTGAATTTGCGTATCTTAAATCGACTCCCCCCTGTAGTGTAGATGTACCCTAAGTGTCCCTTCTCAAAGGCTGAAAATTCCACTGCTGTAAAATTACTTATCTGACTGCACAGCCCCAAATGAGAGGACAATTGTGATGAAAACACCCATAAAAAGCAATTTCATTTGTGAATTTTCTTTCATTTATTCTCTCCTTTCTATATAGTGTGGTACATATGCACACAATCAAATGGAGATCTGTCAAACTTCGTGCACTCTGACTACCGGTTTAGCATAAGAACATAGGAGCTGCCCTACCAGAACAGAAAAATGGTCTCTGCTTCTGACAACGGTCAATGCCAGATGCCTTAGAGCCAGGACGAGGAACCTTTTTTTCTATCAGGGGCCACTGATGCACAGAAAAAATCAGTTACGGACCACACACCAACCCGCGGGCGGGGGGGGGGAGCGGGGGCGCAGAGCTCGGGGCTTTCCCTAGGCTCTGGGGTGGGGCCAGAAATGAGGAGTTGAGGGTGTGGGAAGGGGCTCTGGGCTGGGGCAGGGGGTTGGGGTATGGCAGGGGGTGAGGGCTGTGGCCGGGGTATGAGCTCTGGGCTGGGGATGAGGGTTTTGGGGTGCAGGGGGGGCTCCGGGCTGGGGCCAAGGGGTTTGGAGTGTGGGAGGGGACTCAGGGCTGGGGCAGGTGGTTAGGATGCAGGTGGGGGTGCGGTGTCTGGGAGGGAGTTAGCGTGCGGGAGGGGGTCTGACCTGTGGCAGGGTGTTTGGGGTGTGGGCTCTTCCCGGGCGGCACTTACCTCAGGCAGCTCCCAGTCAGTTGCTCAGCGGAGCTAAGGTAGGCTGCCTACCTGCCCTGGCTCCATGTTGCTCCCAGAAGCGGCCAACATATCCAGCCCCTGGCCAGGGGTCTTTGCACGGTGCATGCTGCCTGCGCCCGCAGGCACTGCCTCCATAGCTCCCATTGGCCGCGGTTCCCAGCCAATGGGAGCTGCGGAGCTGGCGCTGGGGGTGGGGGAAGCATGTGGAGCTTCCCTGACCACCCCTGCTCCTAGGGGCTGCAGGGACATGCCGGTCACTTCCAGAAGTTGTGCAGAGCCGACCAGACTTTTAATGGCCTGGTAACCCCAGCTTCCCCCTGCAGTGGGGTGAGTTGGCGCTCTCCCTACAGGCCGGATGAAATGAAGCAGCGAGCCGAATCTGGCCCGCGGGCCGTAGGTTGCCCACCCCTGCCTTCGAGAAAAACACAATCTTCCCTATTAGACGTGCCCCTTGAGACATTATACGTTTTGCAATTACTCCCAGGAGGCAGAAGAAATTAAGATAGATTTTTAGAACATTAAAGCGGGTTTCCCTATTGCATTTGACATTCCTTTCATTTTTCTTCCGTTATGTTGGCTGCTGTTTTATATGGAGGATAGGTCCATCAGTGGCTATTAGCCAAGAGGGTCAGGGATCAATTATGGGGTCTAAATTAGCTGTTACCACTCAAGAGACAGAGATTAGAGTCATTGTGGATAGTTCTCTGAAAACATCCACTCAATGTGCAATGGCAGTCAAAAAAGCTACCAGAATGTTGGGAACCATTAAGAAAGGGATAGATAATAAGACAGAAAATATCATATTGCCTCTATATAAATCCATTGTATGCCCACATCTTGAATACTGTGGGTAGATGTGGTCGCCCCATCTCAAAAACCCTGAAAAGGTTCAGAAAAGGACAACAAAAATGATTAGGGATATGGAACCGCTTCCATATGAGGAGAGATTAACAAGATGAGGACTTTTCATCTTGGAAAAGAGACGACTAAGGGGAATATGATAGAGATCTATAAAATCATGACTGATGTGGAGAAAGTAAATAAGGAAGTGTTATTTACTACTTCTCATAACACAAGAACTAGGGGTCACCAAGTTAAACTAATAGGCAGCAGGTTTAAAACAAACAAAAGGAAGTATTTCTTCACACAACACACAGTCAAACTGTGGAA